ATATATATATATATATATATATATATATATATATATATATATATATATATATATATATATATATATATATATATATATATATATATATATATATATTAAAATCATCCGCCCATCCTCCCATCATCACTGTCCTCCAGGGTTAGCACCAGTACCGTCATGACTACCTGCGTATAACAAAAACAACTACACGCTCAGCAAAAGCTGAGGAGTGAATCTAACAAAAGAACATGAAGTGATAACCCATATGGTTATACACACATTAATACCTCTACTTAACGCACGGGAAACCACATGTTTACTAACTGTTTAATTTGCACCTGTTGGGGTACTATCACATATAACAAAATGATGTGCTACCACATTGAATGTTGATGTGATGTGGAACATACATGATGATGATACGACTTGATGCATGACCTAAACTATCAGGGACACCCCTGGCTTAGTCTCACTTGACAGGATCACCCCTGCACTCCGGTTATCATACCGAAACGGTAATGAGCCGGGAATAAGTGGACTAGCAAAACCGGGTAGTAGTCGTAACCTGACTAACATGTACGTACACAAAGCCCACCTGATGAAAACCCGTTGGATCCCAAAGGTTCATGGACGGGCCCACTGTAGTAGGCGCACGAAAGCCTGAACTCCCTACAGCGGTATGCATATGATGTTAAACCTAGTACATGCGTCTAGGATGAACATGATGAATGCTTGATATATTTACCTTTGGTCAAAGCCAAGAATATATCTATTAAATAACATAGATAATGTAGATTAACATTTCATGCAAACATACAATCAGATTCTGAGTCAGAATGGTCAGCGGAATTAGTTCTACAAACTGCCCGGAAATCTGCCCGAGGAATGGTCGACCGTACCCTACCGGTGGTCGACAGTGGGCTATGGTCTAGGTCTCAAAAGGTCCACCGTCGTGGCCGGCGGTCAACCGTCACGGTGGTGACCGTCGGGAAGGCCGAGGGAACGGTCCACCGTCCGTAGCGGCGGTCGACCGTCCAGAAGACAATCCTCATTCCTTAGCTTCTTTTGACCCATTTTGAATACTTAACCCCTTGATTCTTTCTAGAACAATAATACAAACATTTATAAATAAATTCCTAATAATTTCTAGGCCATTATATATAAGTTTTACGTAGTGAACATTTTTATGGCTAAGCTACAAACATGCATAGATTCTACGTAGGTTGCGTACGATATTTCTATGAATATAACGACATAGATTATAACTAAATGTTCTATAATTAGAGGGGACAACTACTCACCTCTAAACAACAGGGTTGACGGAATTGATGGAACAAGATGAACGAACGACGCCTAACGAATGGACGAACAATGGACGATGAACAACGTACGCTTCTCGTGTGAACTTCTCCTCTTCTACCTCCCCGTCTACTCACCAGAGAACCTCCTGGAGCTGCTACTGGGTAGCCGAAAATGCAAGGGGAAGAGGAAGAGAAAGTGAGAGTGATGGTTGGGGGTTACAATGTGCTAAGGAGATGAAGAGGAGAGTGGGGGTTTAAATTAGGGGAATGAATGGAATTGATGAGAGATTAAATGAAAATGATGATGGTGAGTTGTGGGTTGCGTGGGTTTTCAAGGGATTAAATGGAGATTTATCTCCCTAAATTCTATTCCGTTATGTAAAATCTGACCTGAACGGTACGCAGTTTTCCTCCTGAACGGGTCCGAATTGAGATCCGTTTACGTTTCTGGAAATAAACAGTCAAAACTAAATTTATGATATCTTCAAAATATTTTTCTCAAAACTTTATTTTCAAACTTCCGGATCCATCCCAATAATTAATTAATATATTTACTTAATTAATGTTGAGAGGTCCGTTATTAAAATACATTAATTTTGGAAAGCCATTTAAGAGATCGAATTCTCATTATTTATTAATTTAAAATAATAAGTCTCAATAAATTAATAATATTTATTTATTTAAAACTAGGCCAGTTTGAGGGCATTACAAGAAATATGGAGTGTTTAAAAATGCGGAAGCGAATTAAAACATATCTCATGACAATCACAATTAATTATTTTACGCCTTTAAAATAATAATTTAAATCCATAAATCCATCACGATCGTCTCGCCCCATATGCCGCCAGGAATATGTCACTTCATTTTTTTACCTATGTATAACAAATAAAACATATTATACCCTCCACGGTGAAGCTAAGGATATCTAATGCATCGAAAATTTATACAAATTGAATCTCAATTCATAATCAACTCTTTTGATATCATGCACATTACTTTTATTTAATATTCAACATTCATATTTAATAACGCTCTCAAACTATTCTTAGTCTAGCTTAGCCCAATTTCTTGATATTTACCAAGTCTTAAACTAATTCTAGTTTAAGGTACTTCTAATTAACGATTAAACTATATTCTTGTTTTAGGTGCCTTTTGAGTTATATATTCTTGTTTTAGATGCCTTTTGATTTTTACCAAGTCTTAGCCCATTTTCCTAATAAAATAAAAGCTATTTCTCATGAATTTATGTTCTCTTTGGTACTTTAAAATTCAATATGTTCTAAATAAATAATTCTTGTTCTTTGTTTACTGTTTTTACTTTATATTTTGTATGTGTACACACTACAAGAATCTAGGCAGAGAAGAAATGGGAATTTAGTCTCATAATTGTCTCGAACGGGAGACGAAAAAGTGACGAATCCATCAGTCCCATTACTTTCGTATCTTTTCATTTGAGACGGGAATATTCTGTCTCTTTTTGTTTGGGGCGAAAATGAGACGACATTGCAATGAGACAGAATTTCGTCTCTTATGGGTATAAACTTGGCTAGCCATCATTCAAAATTATTCATTTTAGAGACTAAAATCTGTCTCAAAATCTAAATATAAAAAAATTGCTGAGAGTAATAGCGTAAACCTATACTAACTCATATATTAGGTATTACAAGAACAATTAATGATGTTGGAACAAAATTGTTTTTTACTTTTGTTAGAATAAAGCAACCCAACAAAAAAATGTCTTAAACAGCCTTAATATTGTAACACAGGTCCAATGTGATCTAAAACTTGCTACAAAAAAATCCAACTTTTTTTTACATATAACTACATCAAAGAAATAACATTAAAAGAACAAATATTCATCATGATAAAAAACAATCTAATTGCAGCAAACATACTTCCTCAAAACAATACCAACAACTTCATTCTTCACCATGTCTAAGACTCCAAAACATTAATGTACCAAGCTCCTATTTATGAAAATGTCATCATTACTTGTGTGCTTGTAAAGCTTTTATTCTTCATCTTCTTCTACATCTACCAAAAAACAAGTATAAAATTGTTACCTACTAAGTAAGATATGAAAGAAGTTGAATACTTGCTCCTTTTTTTAAATTTTGAATCTACCTGCAATCTAAATCATCATCATCTGAAGAGCATAATGAATTATCTGAGTCCTCACTATCATTAGAAAAAGGTTCAAAGGGAGGCTGTTTAGTTTTTGATGGGCGAGGGGGTTTCTTTTTGCTTCCAGATTTAGATCTACTAGCAACTAGGAAAGTATTCACTTCACTCTCTTGAATTATTCCTCTTTTTATTAGTCCTCGATAAACATTTGAAATTGATGCATTGAAAGACCTCATTTTGTTTCTTAAATCATCCATTTCTTCTTCAACCTCGCGATGACGTTTTCTTTCTTCTCGTTGAGCCATCTTTGTTTTTTCCAATTTTATTCAAAACTCTCTATTTTTCCTTTCTAGGCTGCATCTTTAATTTCTTCTCCAGTTCTGCTTGGAGATGCTCAACCTCACTATTATCCACCTTTTACAAAATATTATAATGCACGTGTAAAGAATAATAATAATAATACTACAAATGTATAAATAATTAATGTCCCAAAAAAGTATGGTAAGAGCTTGAAATAAAATAAAAGGCATCATAAAAATTTCATTTTACAAAACAAAACACCTAATATGCATAAACAATCATATTTACCTGTGATGTCATAGCGGCTGAAGTAAATGCATCAGGATTAGAAAACTCCAAAGGGACACCCGTCCATTGATCTGCCTTTTGAACCCCACTAGATGCTTGAACTCAAGCATCTTTATCAAGCATTGGCCACTTTTCACGATCTTTCTCAAACTTAGTAACCATAACTTCAGAATACTTTTCCTAAGAAGTTAGAAAAAGTGTGACAACATGTAATATTAAAAAAGGAATAAACGACAAGGACGACATATGTTGGATATTAAAAAAGGAATAAATTGACCAAAATTCGAGTATGTCGAGTTGGATATGGTTGTCCAGTTTTTCGATTAGTACACATATGTGGTAATAGCTAATCTAAATGACAAGGACGACCTAGTTGAATAGACTACAAAGAATCTACAAAAATTATATTTAGTCAATTAGTGACTTTGTCTTTAAACCCAAAGTACTTCTCACACGTAAATATTATGTCTTACCAATTCTTTTAATATTTTTGACTTCTTCTATGTGCCCAATGTACTTCTTGTTGTGACTTCACCTTCAAGTAGTTTACCTAAATATAAAAGATACACAATAATAATTTAATAGAAACGTTCATAAAATAATAAAAAAATAGAACTTTACTTATTTTGAGATCACCTTTTTGATTTGCAAAACTAGCTTTTGATTTCTTGTGCCACTCCTCTGAGTTCCAAGTTGTACATAAATTCTTCCAGTTTTGCTCACTAATGTTACTTGATCGAAATGGAATAAGATGAGAATAATCTTTATCTGGCAAAAAATCAGGGATTGATTTTTGAAAAATGTCCCTTCTGATCCTATTCAATTTTTTTCAATATGAGCTTTCAACTAAGTGGAAGTAATTTTTCCACGTCACACTTTTGTATGATGTGAAACATAAAGTAATAAACTTTTATATCAGTGCAAGTAACAAGATTTTGATGTAAACAAATGCATAATTTTTTTGTTTATAAGAATGCTTGCTTGAAGTTGTTCCTAATACATATCTCGAACATTTGTTATTCCTAAGAACTTAACTGCTTCTGGGTTGAATAACTTTTTATTTATGAGTCGGACCTCTTGAATCACAGTCTGATTGGAAAAGAAACTACAAAAATAGAATAATGAAAGATAAAATTAAGCCAATCATCAATATCAAATAAAATAATACATGAATAAACAATATAAATCACATACTTGTCGAGGACGATAGTCATTCGATTATCTTCGACCTAATTTTCCTCAGGTTCTGGTGTTTGCATATCGGCAATCGGTTGAGATGGCGAACCACCTGCACTATCTTGTATAGATTGTTCTTTCAATGGGCTTAGTGAAGCATGTTCTTGAAATCGTTGGGATGCTAAAGGAGGACCATTTGGAGGATCCCACGTTGCCCTGAAAACTGCATCCCCTTCTAGTAGTGCGGCAAACCATTCTTCATTTAAATTTGCATTCTATTGATGCCTCAAGACTTGCCCATTTTCTCCTTTTTAGTCATCTATTTCAAGTCCAGATAAGGATAGAAATTAATGGAAGCTTTAGCACTTTTATATTAGTCTAGATAGGCTGTGTATGAACTCTTCCACATACCGGAATGACATTTTATATATTTATATTGGGTCACTTGTGTTTATTTTGGCTGTCCTTTTGGAGATAGATATCAGATTGTGCAACAATAGTTTTTTTTATTTTGCTAGAAAAACAAATCCAAAAAAACTAACAAAATTTGCACCGGGGAACATGGAGATTTTCTTTTAGTTGTGTTTCATCAAAAGTTGCACCATGGAGATTATGCTACCAAAGCACCACAACATGGAACAAACTTTATCCACATATTTTTGGACTTAAATATACTTTGCAGGGACAAGTTACCAACTAGAAAAAAGCTTCCTAGGTTCTTAATTGAACAAAGCTTCTTAATTGAATTTTTTATACAGTTGCTTAATTACTCTCAAATACGGTTATCAATTTCATATTTTTTGAATGCTTTTTAAGTATAATTACTTGTAGATATTAAAAAAACATTAGATATAATGTTCTAAGAAACATATTCTTACAAAATCTAAGAAACAAATACCTGTGGAAAATCCAAATCGAGGGTGATAAATATGCCATAGATTTTGTTGATAGAATTACTCTCCAAATGTTTGAGCTCTCGACATAGAATATGGAGCGAAAATGGGGGCAGAGATCAGATTTTCTCCGCCCTAGGGTTGATTTTTTGGGGTGCTGCTTTTTAAGGAGAAGTGGAGAACTTAGATTTTAGTTCCCTTCTGGAGGCAATTCAAATTATTTGGGAAATTTTTTAGTACCCCGGCATTGAGTTTTTATCCAGGTTTGACTTTTTTGGTTAACTATTTTTAATCTTTGACTTATAATAAATCTAATAAAATTATTTTTCTTATAATAAATCTAATAAAATGTAACAAATATTTGAAATAATAAATCTAATAAATTTATTTTTGTATCAATATCTAATACGTAAGAATCATTTTTATTTAATTGGAGCTCAAAATTTATCAATTTTGACAAAAAAAATGTCAAAAGTGGATAAATTTTTGTTCTCCGTTAATGAAATCTATAATATTCATATTTTCATTTTAAATTCATTTATTTACTTATTTTATTCATTTTAGTTTTATTTTTATCATTAATTACAAAAAATGGATATTACATATTTTGACAAAGGTAGTCTCATTAAAAGAAGAATGAAACGAACTAATTTTGAGAATATACACTAATATTTAAATATTGTGTTACATAATGTACTGAGAATTATATAACAAACAAATTTACAATGGAAAAGACAAATGATTATTCTTCATCTATTGATAAAAAGGTATAAGCTTCTTAATTATTTTGTTGTACACCATCTCAAACAACATTGAACTCATTGTCGTTGATAAGAATTGGTTCTTGAATTGATCCCTCTTGGTATGGCTTGTTTTCAAGAATATCACTAATACCAGTTTCTCCATCGATGCTTCTAATATCACATTCGATGTGAAATCGAGGCTTTGTTATCACAACACAACGCCAATAACAAAGAGATGTGTGAGGGTATTCGAGGTAAAACACTTGGTGTGCAAGGTTTGCTAAAAGAAATGGCTCATCAGGTGGATCTAGACGTGAGTTCAACTTTACGTCTGTTACTCCTGAAGCATTATTATGTTGAACACCACGAGTAGGATCAAACCAAGTTCCTTTAGAAATAGTTATAGAATAATTGCAGCCTCTCCCAAGATAAGTCAACTCAACAATGTCATCAATTATTCCATAGTACTCAACATTAACACCTTTCACAACAATGACCCAATTTGGAACTTTTTTTGTTTCTCCATACTTGTAAGTGTGAAAGCGAAATTCGTTGCTGAAACATCCACTATAAGATCTTAATTGTGAAAGCGGTCCCCGAGAAGGCTCATACAAAAATGCGAGTAACTGTGTATGATTTTTATCGACAAAGTTCGTTGAAGAAGAGTCTCAATGTGTCTGAAATAAACCACCTTATTAATTAGTCGTCGTATTCGTATAATGACATTAAAATTAATACACACAAAAACTAAATTAAATTTTTTTTGGAACTTACCATACAAAAGGTGTCACTTCTGGGCAATTAATAAGCACACATGTGTGTGCTTGACCAGGAATGTTTTGAACATGTACTCTGAATATAGATAAAATATTTGATATACCTTCATCAAGTGGCCTAATCGGCTCAAAATTCCTTGGAATTGGGTTTACTTTGGTACCAAGAGTGTCTTCAAAATAATGTTCACTTAAGAAACTCATCTCTTGCACAAGATATGCTTCCACAACTGAACCCTCATTTCTTGCCCTGTTTCAAATTTTGTGTTTCAAACTTTTCATACATCTCTCAAATGGATACATCCAACGCAAGTGAACAGGGCCACCCAATCTCACTTCTTTTTCCAAATGAACAGTTAGTTAAATCTCCCATCACATCAAAAAAACTTGGGAGAAATATTTTTTCTAATTTACAAATTATAATAGTAATCAGTTCTTGCAATTTTTCGATTTCTTCAATTTTTATTTGTTTCACACACAATAGCCTGAAAAATTTGCAAAACTCTGTGATTTCCTTCCATATTACATTATTTAATGCCCCTCGAGGTGCGACTGGAAGAATTCATTGTATAATTACATGACAGTCATGACTTTTAAAGCCATAAAAGCTATAATTAGACATGTTCACATTCCATTTCTCATCGAGAATTTACTCAATCTTTAGTTCTACCAACATCATCCATAACTTTGTAAAAACATTTTCAAAACAATTTTTCTCTATATGCATCATATCTAAACAATGTCGCACTTGTTGATCTTTCCAGTAAAGTAATTCCCAAAATATAGATTTCTTTATCCAATTATGTGTCACACCAAATCTAGTAACCTTAGTGTTATCATATGCACTTCCAAACGGTGGAAACTCAAAGCTCTCTAATGTTTCTAGAATTTCAGACCCTGACATATCAGGTGTGGGAACACCAGGTGCACAATATTTAGGCTTGAATGCTGTTGTATTTCGTCTAAATGGATGATTTGATTGTAAAACTTTTCAATGGCAATCAAACCAACATGGCTTCCGGCTATTTATCAATAAAATGAACCTTGCCCATCACCTACAGGCAAGCAAACTTCCCATGTGTACTCCACCTAGAAAACATGCCATATGCTGGAAAATCACTTATCGTCCACATAAGGCATGCACACATCATAAACTATTCTGACCTTAGAATATCCCATGTTTGGACACCTTGTCGCCACATTATCTTTAACTCATCAATTATAGGGCGTAAATACACATCAATGCTTCGCCCTGGACTACGTGGTCCTAGAACCAACCCTGCTAAAAGTACATCACTACAAAAAAACTGATAAAATTGTGATGGAAAAATTTCGTCGCCAAACGCTTATTTCCATAGATAATCGGTTTAACAACGGAATTAACGACGATTTTTTTCGTCGTTATTTTTTCGTTAATATCAAAATTAACGATGGTTTTCAAATTCCCTCGCCAGGAGACGACAGAACTGGCGACAGAAGCTGACGACGGATTTTGCGACAGAATTATTCCACCGCCATATTCGATGACGTAATTAACGACCATTATAGTAGCCTGACATAATAGCAATGGAATTGGTATCCCCTCGCCAATTCCGTTGCCAAATTGACAGCAACTGCACAAAAGCCTGTTATTTTTTCAATTCCACACAACAACAACATCAACCTGCTCTAAATCACAACACAGCATCAAACAACCAACAAATACTAGAAATGAAGAGTACCAAACAACCAAAAACATTTAAATCATCAAGCTACAATTAAAATTCAAATAATATTTATAAAAATTCAACTTAACGAGGAAATCTAACTCCACTTACATAACCATAAAATTTAAGTTTAATATAATGTTAGTCATTTCTAATAAAACACTCAAGAAGCGCTTGCAAACCCCGGCCCTCCTCCAACTCCTCCGACATCTCCATTTCCACTTGGGAGAACTCCTCCATAGAGTCGGGTAATCTCTTCTCTAATCGAAAATAGTTCACGCGTTTGGGAAGCTCTAATTTCATCTAGCTCTTCTCTCAACCTCTTAATCTCATCATCTCGAGGTTCCCACATAGAGCTGGTGCTAGCACGTCTTGCCTCACTTGCATGCATTTGTGGTAGGCTCCATGCGAGATCTCCAACACCATGAACACGATTCTTGGCATCATGTCCTCCGAGTGTAGATATAAAAATCTTGTCAGGTGTCACATTTAAGCCTTGTTCACGAACTGCCTCTTGGATGGCTACGTAGTTTTGCTGCAATACACCAAACATACATGTATATATTTTTTAACATAAAAAGCAAAATAAGTAGAGTACTATGAATTCACATTTAATTGAAATAAGAAAACCTAATCATTTATATATATTAATTGTCACTTACTGATACTTCTTCTGCCTTCTTATTGATGTAGGTCTTCCCATCATGTTTATTCGTATGTGTGTGTACGAAGAGTACAAGTCAAAAGCCTGTCCACTTTTACCCTAAAAAATAAAATATATAAGTAAGTGGAAACACGTCACTTAGAACATTTAAATGTAATTTTTGTTACTAATAATACTTACAAGGAACGCTTAAGACTCGCGAAAAGACAATGGACCACCGGTGTGCGTGGCGCTAACAGGGGCATTCTCGTCACTGCCACGACGATTTTTCTTGTTTTGCTTAGAGGATGCCAAGAACTTTGGCAACTTCCAATACTGTTAAACAACATATTGTTAGACAAGGCGTGCAACTCTAGAGGGGGGGTGAATAGAGTTGTTGAGAATGTTTACCGACTTTTGCAGGATTGATAATATGAACGTAAGTGCAGCGGAAATAAAAGAGAGAAGG